TCATATGGTAGTTTCAAAATGCCATTGACAAGGCTGGAATTTGAGACGCCCTGTAGATTTTACAGTTTCAAGTTTCAATTTCTTAATAGTGAGAAAATTCAAGTACTACACCATAGCGTACACTCCCTAATTTGTTTCATGACCCTGTCTATGTATTATAGTGTCTATAAAGAAAGATTATCTTGAATGGGTTGCGTGGATTTCAATTCGAGAATTGCTGAAATTTATTTCATAAGATGATTAAGTGAAAACCGTCATTAAATCCTACACTGTGGTCGTGGGTCTTTCAACAAACGGAACAATAAATTATAAGCTTTTTCTCATTAAAAGAATAAATAAGTTGGATTGCTTAGAGTGGTCGAAGGAAGATTATTGTTATAACACAAACGAAAGTAACAAGTTGAAAAATGAAATTCTTAATTTTTGTCTTTACAATACTTTTATATTATAGACATTTTGAGAAAAATTCTCTCATTTCTCATAAAAAAAATTCTTGTTCTGAAATTGTTAATCCCTTTAATAGTTTTTCAAATTTCCATACCGTTTTAGAGAAAATTAAAAAAACTATGGTAATATAATTTCGTTTTCGTTCTTTGATAGTTTGCTGTTGATAGCATTTTAATTAAAGATCGCGCACACTATACCTACACGGACCAGTACGGACCAGTACGGACCAGCACAGCACAAACCTGCATCCTGCATGACGTCGCACACTTTACCGCCACAGACCAGCAACATAAGCGAGAGTTTCGAAAAAGTACAGTTGTCAAGGCTCAACTACTAGAGCGTGCAACATAGAAGTATTGAAAATGAGTAGTTCAGAGGAAGAAATTATTATTTTAGCCATGTTGTGTGAAAAAGACGAGGAAGCTAAGAAAAAAAGAAGATTTTGGGTTCACCCTATAAATCAAAAGAGAAAGCAATATGGCGAATTTCATCATTTGTTTCCTACCAAAAGATCTGAAGAAAAGTTTTTCCAATATTTTAGAATGTCACAAATCAAATTTGATTAGTTATTTTTGCCATCTCCATATTGCATCTTTTCTTTCTTGGTCTCTATAAAATGCGTGGCTCGTATCCTGGCACAGCTCTGGATACTTTTGTATCAGTAAGATAAGCTTTTCATTCATATTTAAAACGATTTGAAGGTTCGAACAAAAATAAACGAAATCTAACCTACATCATGCGACTTGAGCCAGCTAGCGTACTCGAAATACTGACAAACCCTTCAATATTTGCATGTTTGTGGAGGTGTGCTGGTTCGCCGGTGCGCACATTAGGTCGGACCAGCACGACCAGGCATAAATATTGCTGATCATATTTGTCCCTGACCGACACGGCCTGTTTTGACGGTCGTGGCTTGTGGCGGTACGTGCTGGTGCTGCTCTAGTGTGCTCTACTCTATTAAATAACACGGTCACCTTCACCGGTAGATTCTACTGGTCTGGTCCGTGCCGGTCCGTGTAGGTATAGTGTGCGCGATCTTTTAATGTCATATTTCTTCAAAGTCAAAACCTGTAAATGTTTAAGGTGATAAAGAAAATCCCAAAACATTGACGTCTCGCTGCATATTAACTTGTTTCTGGACACTATCAACGTTAAGAGTGTAAGTTACAGCTTGCAAATTAAAACATACTTTACTGATTTTACTAACCATGTCACTAACAACCTGTGCCATAAATAATTAATATTTTTTACAATAATACACTTGCACATTATTTAACATTGGCCGAGTATTTGTATGTTTACCTTTCGTAATAGGTAAATTTAAAAATAAATTACCATAAAACACTTTGGACGTTTCTATGATTATTAATTATTACTTATTGATGATCTTTAGACTTAATGGGACACGAAAGTCATTAATCTTTCTGTCTACCTTGACTGATTTTTTATTCGTTGTTTTTTAATTGTTTTGTTAAAAACACCGTCTACTAAAATTTATTGTCTTTGTGTTTCACTGCACGCCAGTGTCATTTTTGTAGTTCGTAAAATCAGAACTTGATTAGAACTTAATTTCAATCGTCAGCTACAAGTTTATGTTATAATTCGTGTTAATTAATAGCAATAAATAATATTTTTTTGGAAAATTACTTATACAAAGTATACATTACATAATATATGTAAAGAATTTCATTCTGCGCAAATTTGTTCATAACCTCTTTTGTGTCAAAAATTGCAAAAAACAAATTCAGAGAAGATTCAATATGGAGGACACTACGCATATCAAATATATGGGAAAGACTGTGAATTTGTCATTGACTTGTCAAATAGAAACTACCTGTATCAAAAGTTCTCTGTCAAAAAAAAACTCGAAATGAGAAAGGAAACGATCTTGTTTCACTAACTGTTCCAGAATTGTTCTGCTTCTCAAGTGGAAACCAACTTAAAGGTTGATTCTCACTATACCTTCCATATCAACTCCCTTCCGTTTACATGAAATATTATATCATGTAAATGAATAGGACAATGCACACTATCCGTTCCGTTTCCCTTCCGTTCCATATTCTTTCCTTCCATATATTTTTTGGCGGACGGACTGGAGCGTATCGGAAACAGCGTTTTCAAGTTCTTACATTTGTACCAACTCTGTTAAAATTTTGCTGTTATTTATTTATTCTTTCACCTCTTAATTAAATCTATTACCTTTTAAAGATACAAATCTTTAAAAGAAAACGTTCGTAATGATATACATTGTACAATAAAAAGTATGAAACTGATACGGAACGAAAGCTTACGTATAGCGCCAATACAATAAAAAATACGGAACGGATATGGAATGGAATCGGAAGGTATAGTGAGAATCAACCTTAAAGGTATTATAGTTATTACTGATACAAGTTCGATACGAACATCATAATACAAAAGTTTCACTAAAAAGTTCGTATCGAACGTGTATCATTCAAAATTTAATCTACGATGCGACAAGAGGGACGATCCAAAGAGATTTGATTTAATTTAAAATATCAGAGATATCCTCATAAAAATTAAGATTCTATATTAGTCGACGCCGTGGCAACCGTGCTTGTTGATTGTTTCCATTTTGACTTTGACAACTCAATTATTAATGTTCAATTTTGTGTTAAACGTTCAGTTTTAGCAAATAGTAAAAAATAATATTAATATGGGTGATTCTGATTCTGAAAGTGCCCCTTCGGATATTGAAGGCATTGCGCAAAACGTTGTCGATTCCCTACTTCCCGAAAAATCAAGACAAACGTACGAACAAACCTATGTAAAACTTGAAGATTGGTGTAAATAGAAAGGAATCAAGAATAGTAACAACGAAAAGGTTCTCCTGACATATTTTGAACATCTTTTAAAACATAGGAAGGCTTCATCACTTTGGATATATTATTCCATGCTACGTTCAGTTATATCAGCGAAGAAAAATACAGATATTAGTAAGTACGTCCATTTTATTGCATTTCTAATAAGAAAATCGGAAGGATTTCGGTCAAAAAATCGAGAATTTTAAGAAAAGAAGACATAACTCGTTTTTGTTGGAAGCTGATGATAAAACTTATTTCCTGACAAAAGTTTCGTTGATGGTGGGACTTGCGGGAGCCTGCCGGCGTATCGAGTTGACAAATCTGCAGCTGCAAAATGTTGAAGATGAAGGACAATGCATTCATGTCATTATTCCATTTACGAAAACAAAGATATCACGAGATTTTTTTTATAACGAAAGAGAATGTTGAAGGAATAAATATGGTGGAAATGGTTCGACGATATATAGCTATGCGGCCAAGCAACACAGAGCATACTCGATTTTTTGTGGGATACAGAAATGGAAAATGTATTAAGCCACCCGTTGGCATTAATACTTTAGGGAAAATGCCGTATAAAATAGCATTGTTCCAAATCCACAACAATACACTGGACATTGTTTCCGTAGATCGTCTGCGTCGTTGCTTGCAGATTCAGGAGTGGATTTATTAACTGTTAAAAGACATGGTGGTTGGCGCTCTAACACAGTGGCAGAGAGCTATATAGAAAATTCCAAAGAAAATAAGAAAAAAGTGTCATGTAATATTTTGGGTAACATTTCTGGTAATGATGGGTCTTCAACAAGTTCAAGCACTCAGGAAATAAATTTACTTCCTAAAAATTCAACTCACCCGTAATCGTCTGGAATTAATTTAACCAATTGTACTGATATTATAATTAATGTTTACAATAAATAAACGTATTTAGGTACCTTTTTTTCTCACTCATCGTCTTGTCCCTGGCCGTAGTGTCGTGGCCAGGGAATTGCACCAAGACATATAACGATACTGGGCAGGGCTACGGACAGCCTCAAACTTGGGGCACCGGGGGGCACCCCATTGTATTTTACCCCTTACTTCTACATGAGGGGCTCTGTAGAAGTGGACCCTAGCGACTCATAGGAACACGATGAGATCTGGTAATAATAGTAATAAAAACATCACCGGTGAAGCTGTGGGGAAATACCCTAGCGACACTGGGAACAGTAACAATGAAAGTTCCAAGGGGCCAAACCCAAAGAGAACTACAGGAGAGGTGGCTGACACTTGCGTGAGACCATCCTCCGCAAGTGACATACAAGCTACCACCTCCTCCAAGGGTCGGGAGCCTACCTCCTACCTCTAAACCCAACAGGCGACACAAGCTACCGTTTCGTCTACCTGGCCTGGGTCGTAGCTCCTCGACTGTGAGCGACACGGGTCTCCGTAGGAAGTCCTGGGACTGTATGATGAGTTATAACTCAAGAAAGGGGGACACAATAGATCTCTAAGGTCGCAGAGATTAACCCCCCTCCCACTTATTCTAAATTCTAAATTCTACCTTTTTTTTGCTTGTTTCTTATTTTAAAATTTGCGCGTCTCTATCTTAAATTATACGACAGATTTAAACATTTTTGGTCAAAATTTCATTTAATCAGGTTTACAGGCTTTAGTATCAATTTCGAGACGATTGATGACGTGCATCGGAAAATGTTTTGCGATTACCGTATACCTATGCATCTATCAACTCACCACTTGATCACCTTCCTCCTCATCCAGCATATCACCATAATTGTTAAAAATCTCCTCGTCCGGACTAAGCGTGGTGGTCGTGGTAGTCGTGGTTCTAAACCTGGTCGACCATCCGTGATGCCTGAACCTCGGATACGTCACGCTGCTACCGTCACCCGCGAGCAACCGTCTCGAATCACCACCGTACCTATATCTACCCGTATCACCACTGTTCGTTTTCGAGCCATCACCTGCATCTAAACTGGCCAGTCGCGTCTTGAGTTTGTCGAAATTCGGGAATTTCGATGAGTGTCTTAGTTTGGGCACGTTGGTGTTCGTACTGTACAAGTCTGTGTTCCTTACCGAATCGATCTTGTTACTCGGATAGTACTTTTTCGTATTAGTTCTCTGGTGGTTTTTGGGGTGGTAGTCATTATTTTTCTGGTGCGCGCAGATCACTTGGGCGAAGAAGTAGAAGCACAGGATGGCGTGCCGATGCCCGAATCGCATGGTCGGTCGATCACTTTCTTTTAAGGTCTTCTTCTTTCATCTTGGAGCACCTGGAAAGAAAGGAATTTTAGTTAAACTCTGAATAGAAAATGTTAATGCTCTATAAAGTAGACAATCTTTACTATATAAAATGAAGGTATTCAAGATATATTGACCAGATGTAAAAATAACAATGTAAAAAAATAAGGTGCCCGGTGGCACAGAGGTACAGCTCTCGTCTACCAATCTAAAGGTTGTGGGTTCGAATCCTAACAGCCGGCAGTTCATCAGCCGACTATTTTTAATAAAATAAAAATAGTTATGGTACCTAGGTTGACTCAGCCTTAAATGAGTACTTGAGATTCACAATCCTGAGGTAATAATAGGCGGTTGAAGCGTAGTGCTAGCCACATTACCTTCCTTGTATACCAAGGAAGAAATACTTGCAACCAAGGCGTTAAACGCTACACACCGGAAGCTTATTATTTATTCAAAATAAAAATCTCCACTTGTTGCCACTCATTTACTAAAAAAAAACATTTATAGAAAATCATTATAATATGATTGTTTATATTAAAATGAATTATGATAATATATCATACACAGGGTGAGTTTCCTACGATGTTCTCTATGGGTATCTCGGAAACTACTGGAGATTGAGAGTGGGTTAAATGGGAAAAGAATTGCAGTTTTGTGGGGTCATAAATATGCGCCTTTTAGATTTTTGAAAAAGTTCATGGCTTACTAGGTATTTCGAAAAACAAACAAATTTTGGATATTTTTAAAATTGTTCGTAATTCCAGTATAATCTATTTTAGACAAAAAGTTTTCAGATAAAATTTGTAGATAATCACATCCCCAATGAGTTTGTGTTCTCCGATTTTTTCTAAAGTATGTTATTTTTGACATATGACACAAACATATGTTTTTTTAAATGGAAACCATAGTTGTCCGTGACTTCATAAATAGCGCCATTTTTTAAGCTTTTCGGCGATATAAGCTATAATATTTTTTATTCGCAAAAATACTTTAGCCAATTCTTATTCTTGCAAGAAATTTTCTTGCAATACAATTGGTATACAACTTTAAGATAAGGCTTTTTGTTGTAAATAAACATGATAATAAAGAATTAACGAATGCCTCGATTTATTTTCTTTTGAATTTTGTGTTCAGTAGCAAAATCACGTTTGTCCGGTAATTTTCATTCGATCCAAAAAAAATAAAAAAATGCCTTATGTCGGATTAACAGATGAACAGAGCGGGAGAATTATTACTCTCACCGAACAAGGAATGCTCCAAAGAGACGTAACAGAGATAGTAGGCGGTACCCAGGGGGTTGTATCGAAAACGTATGCAAGGTACTTGGAATTAGGAACACACAAGGATAGGCCCAGACAAAGTCGTCAAAGAGTCACAACTGAACAAGATCGCCTTGTGTGCAAAATTCCTAGAATAAATCCCATTTTCATCCAGAGTTACAAAGACAGCTTCTGGCAGCTACAGGTGTGAACGTTTCGAAGAAAAGGGCTTCGTGCTCGAAGGTTTTACAGTAGGAGAGAGTTACGGATCCCACAGTTATCTCAGCAAAATAAAATTGGCCGGCTAAATTGATGTCTTCAACATCAAAACTGGACAACTGAGAATTGACAAAATGTTCTTTTTTCGGATGAGACCAGAATTGGCCTTAGATCAGATAATCATCGAATTCGGGTTCTCAGAGCTCCATGAAGACGAGCTAGACTTCAGTCTGCCAAATCTGTACCAAGATATAAAGGAGGAACTGTAATGTTCTGGGGCGGTATTATACTGGGAGCAAAAGCTCCATTGTTACCACTTCAACAAACTTTTAACGGGTCGGAGATATGTTGATTTGGTGCTAGAACCAATCGTTAGTCTTTGGAGAGCTGCAATTGGGGATAATTTTAACTTCTTGTACGATAGTGCACCTCCCCATACCAGTAGAGTGACTAGAAAATGTCTTGAAATGGAAGGTGTCATAGTTTTGGACTAGCCTGCATGTTCACCATATCTAAACCCTATAGAACACTTGTGGGACTAGCTCAAAAGTTAGAGCTCGTTGAAACAATCCAGAAAATCTTGCACAGCTTATTGATGCAGCATTACCAGAATGGGAAAATATACCCCAAGACAACATTGAGAAGAAAAAAAAAATATATGTTTGTGTCATATGTCAAAAATGACAGAAAGAAGGCTTTAGAAAAAATCGGAGAATACAAACTTATTAGGGATATGATTAGCTACAACTTTTATCTAAAAACTTTTTATCTAAAACAGATTATAATAGAATTAGGGCCAATTTTTAAAATAGCCAAAATTTGTTTTTTTTTAAATAGCTAGTAAGCCATGAACTTTTTCAAAAATCTGAAAGGCGCCATATTTATGACCCCACAAAACTGCAATTCTTTCCCCATTTAACTGACTCTCTATCTCTAGTTTCCGAGATACCCATAGAGAACATCGTAGGAAAATCACCCTGTATACCACATACATGTCAGTTTTCAGCCTTCAAAATTCAATTTGAGAACGCCACAGTTTTTATATACAAATCATGAACTTGCTTTTTTTATAAAAAAAAGTCTAGCATAATAAGCACACATATAGTTGCATTTTGCGTAGGAAAAAGATTACAGCTCATCATAGTATGTCTCATACAGCACATCAAATCACATTTACGATGTGTTTACATTGTTAGACGCAGACACAGGGTGACACAATTCCCCCGATGTAAATATGCTACGTTTACACATTGTAGTTCAACACGTATGCACAAAGGTTAAACGTCCGCCTCACAATGTAGCCACAGTATAGCATTTACGTATACAGAAAGTAAGGGATACACAGTGTGCCGCAGAATACACAGTGCTTGTGTATTACGTTTAAACTTTGTTTACACATTGCAGTTGTGACTACCGCGTGTATACGTATGTATTTTGCTTCGTATATACATCTTGTGCTAGATTATACTACTACTTATTATGGCCGAATTTAGGAAATAATACAAGTTTTGATGCCTAACTTTTCGTTCTTTTTAAGAATTATTTATTCAATGATACCAATTATATCTTTTTAGAACGAAAATTAGGAAGGCAAAACTTTGTATTTTCCACAAGTATCTCGATCGTAAGTTCAAGAGAAGTAGCCTTAAAATTGTTCCATTTTTGTTTTGTATTAAATGTACCATTTTTCTTCCATAAAATGGATTAAGTGGTTAAAAAATAAAATTCTTATATTTCTTTATATCAAGGAACGCAATAGCGCAAATAACACAATAATAATAATTATTTACACTGCAGAAACCAGAAGTAAGAAAACACTGTAAAAGAACAGAATTTGTATCAAAATGTATTAAAAATATAAGTACCTAGTATAACAACATACTAAAATGGTAAACACTGGTATATCGCCACGATTTGGTGGACCTCGTTTAGCAGTGGCGGATACAGAGGGGGGCCCACGGGGCCCGGGCCATATTTTACATTACTTTTTATTTGGGCCCACCCTAAAATAAATTCCTGTATCCGCCTCTGTCATTTAGTCATTTTTTTCTGCTCTTTTCCTTCCAAGCAGTTGGTTTGTTAGCAAATTGTTAGCATACTCATTCATCGAGCACTCTGTTGAACTTTGTTGTATTTTATTTCCAGACTAACAATATCACTCTTAAATTTTATATGAAACTAATTATTGAATCTTAAACATATCTGTATATTGATCCATCAATAACTTACCGAATATCAGTGTAAGAAATTCTTTGAAGTGTTTAAATCTTTCTTTCTCTGGTCCATTTAAATTTTTATTATTTCCAAATTAAAAAAAAATACATATTGCAGAGCTAACCTCTTTATCATTATACGAGAATATTTGGAGTTTTCATTTATTGGAGTCAAAATTTGGTAAATTGGGTATCGAGTAATAGAAGCTGCTATAATATTAATAATACACTTAGGAAGGTGTAACAAGGTAATTAAAAACTTGTGCTTACCTTAAAATCTCTTTTAAACTACACACAAATAGATCATTTATATAGAGCTTCCGATTGAATTCCTAGAACGGAGAAAGGAAAGAGGACACATAAGATACACTTGGTCGGTGTTGTCTACGCTGAGCCTATCCGCGCGTGCGCACACCTTCATTTCATGCTAGAATGTAGACACAACAGTACACTATTACAAAGTGTCTATATTGATATTTATATTTTGATAATAAAATTATATATTCTTGCCACTTAACTGCTAATATAGAAATTTAATTCTACGCTGTGTTTGTCATAATGCGGATCAACCTGCTCTCACTACCGGTTTCGGAGCCCTACTCCATCATCAGGTGAGTGAAATGACAACCACACGTTGACAACCATACGTTTTTCTATTTTATTTATATTATGTGTATACGTCACATTTTTACAAGGTGTGTACTATAGGCACAACTATGATACGAAGTATCACACATACATATGACTTATACATTGTATGTCTCATATAACGACGTCAGATTTCATCATTTTAATAATTATTTGTTACGTTACAAAAAACTCTTTAGAATCCTGAGTGCACACGGTATACAACTAGTAAACACTGTATCACACAATTCTATCAATATAAACCCGCGTGTATCTCATATGTATATGTTAGAACTAGATGAACACTTAGCTTCACTTTAACATATTTTGTTTCTCATGTGTCTCCCTTGTAGAAACGTAATTTCATTTGGACGTGCTGTATGGGGTGATGCTAACGCAAACCTTACCGTGTGGGGCAGCATAAACATCAACACTATAGATGAGTATTAGCAGCAATCTTCGGATGGTCAAGGGGTTTTTAACAGGACACTGTCTCGTTAACGAACACCTCAGTAGATTGAAGCTAAGAAACATCGGCGAATCCAGATTCTGTGGGGAAAATGGAGGTGATTAAGTTACCCTCTCTCATACAATCTACAATCTACAAACCGAATGAGATATTATCATTAAACCGTTTTAGAAGCATTATATCATATTAAACCGTTTAAGAATAATTAGCTGTGCTCTCAATTCGCCCCTCTGCCTGTGTGAGGT